AGAATGGTGCTGTGTAAACTTCTAATATCTGCTCGATTCATCAAGACATCACATATTTGCATACGTGCTCTAACGTTTACGGAGATGCCTTGTTACCCACCAGCTGACCGCATAGCTGGACTGGCCATTGGGCATCCCGGGCATTTGCCCGGTGGGCTGATGATGATTTTTCATTTTTACGTTTGTTTGTTTATAAACAATGAAAGGTGGTGGATTAGCCAATTGGTCATGATCAACTCTGGGCTGGACCAATTACAATACATCCGTATGTGTGGGGAAAAGGAACGCGATTAGTCCCGTACTTCAGCTAGAATGAAAAAAAGACACAAAGCTGGAGTTATTCTGTCTTTACGCTGTCAGCTGCCTCTTCTCCCCTCATTCTCCCTCCCTCCCTCCCTCTCCTGTTGCTACTCCAATCATGAAACTGATCAATGATCAGCTGATCGTCTCTCTTGTTTGTTTATCTCCCACTTTGCTCCAGAAACAGGAAACCAGCGGATGTTGCGCTAAACAACAACAGCAGCACGTTCAAGCTTGATAAGCTGTTGTTATAATTTATTTTAAATTAATTTCTAGTATCAGCTGATGTTTGCTGGAGCCACAGCTGTAAAAGCTGCTGCTCATGATATCGGTTTGGAGACATGAAGGTGATACAAATCATACATATATATACCAACAAGACAGTGTACATCACTGTCACAACAGCGTTTGTTTTAGTTTTGTCTTTTTTTCATGTCATGTCATGATGTCATGATGACTGTGAGCAGCTTCGGTAGCAAAGGCAATATAATAACTCTGAAACCAACAGTTTACACATCACTGGGGGCTCCTTCATGCATGACAAAGGTAATTTCTTAGAAACTGAGACATTTTAAGAGGATGTAGTTATCTGGTGCATCAGTCCTGTTGACACACTGACCTACTCTACCTGTGCTCATTAATGTGCTTCTTGGTCTCACTGTGCTTATAGGGAATCTGGGTCAAAACGTGCATCCAGTCCCCCCGGGACATGAAACAGATACCGATATAGACAGGACATGACAAAGGTTCGTTACTAATATCTACACACATACACAGATTTTACTGCATTTGATGAACTATACACTGATGTGTCTGTTTAGAAAGTAGCAAAAGCATTTATCAGAATCGCATATTGAGAATTTTTTTCAATGAAAATATTCCTTTTAGGCCTAAAAAGGTCTTACATGCAAGTCTACAGCTCTGCCTAATTTGGTATGCATGGATCTTGCCCAGTGTCAGCCAGGAGAGGCTGTAGCTGCCATCAGTCTTAGTTGGATACATGGTTAAGAAAATGAATGGATGAATGCATCTCTAAGAATATCCACTGCAAGCTCTACTCACTCTCAAATTCTCTTGCTACATGGTATGACGACGCAGTACTTATCCGCAGTTATTAATGTCCTTAAATTCATCAATGCTGTGGTCACACTAAGGAACAGTGGTTAGAGACGTCAGCGCGACCACAGCTATTGCGACTGTGTGCACTGAATTTGGAGTTTCATCGACTTTGAAATGTTTTTTTAACTGACGGGGACCAGTCACTGAAACAGCCACAACTACTGTCTTCTCATAGATTTGAAAAGAGAAGAGAAATGCCTCCACAAATAATAATGCAGTTGCTTGATATAGGAATAAAACTAGAACACAACCTGTTGGCAACCAGCCGAGTCGAGTTCCCTATTGCAAAGAGATGCGTTGAGCAGACGAGTTGCAATTGTGTTGTCTTTGTGTTTACAAATTCAAATCATTTTCAAACTGTTACCAATTTGCCTGAGAGTGATTGCAGTTAAACTGAGTCAGACTGACTTTTTGGAGACAAGTAGCCTCCCACCAGGTGACCCATGAAATCCATTTACAATCAAAAGTGCAACATACTCAACCTCTTGTTACTAGCCGGTTGCCACAACTACTTGAAGGCAAAAGAATTCAGTGCAATCATTGGGTAAACAAATTCTTCCTCACTGCCTCTCGTATTTTTTTTTAAAACTCTAGTGTGATTTTAGGCTTTTAATGTGAGAATACTTTCAAAGCTGATTTGGACCATAAAATCTACCTTGGCAAGAAACCAAAAAAGAGAACCGAATCAGTCATCAAAAAATTAAGGCAAGCCGGAAACCCGCTGGTGACCTCTCATCACCTGATGTTCTAAAAGCAGCCAAAAATCCCGAAGCACATGCCCCACATTCTCACCCAAAGGGACCATCAAGGACATCAAAAAGGTTTACACGCTATCACAATACACGTGCACAGAACCAGAAAAACCAAAATAAAAAAAAAATGGAATTATGCAGGATTGATTTGTTTCCTTTGACAAGCAGAGTAGTAGCAGCAGTAGATTTGTAAGCAATAATACAAGAGAGGAAACTGTGCAACTATCTCAATTCATTTCTTCAATGCGTTAGAAGAAACAAACACTATTTAGAGCCTCAGCTCTATCACTGACACCGATTAAGGTGACGTCTGCTCTTCCGTCTGACGTAAACCAAAACAAAGAACTAATTTCTTCTGGGAGACTTAAGGGAGGTGGGCGAGAGAGAACACAACCAGGGTGACATACTCATACTGGAACGCAACATTCATTTGAGGCCTAAAATATAAACAGTTAGCAACCCAGCCTAAACTGAGAAGTGCTGGGAGGTCTTTAGACAACATAACATATCCTTGAATTATTAGAGGATATTACCTTGTTAAACAATTACACTCAGAAGTGAAATTATTTTTAATTTATTTAATAAGATCCACAAATTTAAATCTGATAGCTTCCTTTAATATATTTGGGGATTTGAATCTGCCTTGTTAGGACAGTGTTTGTGTGTTCATACCTCCTGGGTGCGACTACTCTCTCCAGACTCCGTTAGCAGTTTGATCGGTGTGGATCGTTGAGATACAGTCCCCTCATCCTCACGGTCCTCCTCGGAGTCATCCTCTGATGTGCTAGATATGGCCTCCTCACTCGGGGGAGGAGGTGCGCTAGCTGCAGTCTTCCTCTGGAGAATCGTCTCCTCTTTACTGCTCTTGCTGCTGCCAAGATCCACACGCATGCACACAGATCAACGTATGTATAAACAAATACAACTATCGTTCATGTATTGTACATTTTACAGTTTAGTCAAGCAGCAGAATCCCGATTATTTTTATCATGTCTAATGAGTCATCAGATCAGAAATGGCACCATGTTCTTCCACAACATCTCCCAGCAGAAATGTGACTAAACATGTAACTGAAACAGACTTCATGTTCCCAAAGGCTGTACGAGTTTGAGCCCATGATCTCTGTATACAGAGGATTCTGCAAATGTTATCCCTGACCGCAATATTAGGAGGAGAACCTTGCAAAGCAAGCAAGAAAAAGCAGATATGAAGGATAAGAGTAATGAAACATAATTCTTATTCTCAGAAAAATGGCAACAGGTACACAGAGCAGCTTTTGGGGATGTAGATTAGCTTGTACAGGGAAAGCTATCTGAAGCACAGAACACAAATGGACTTCAATTGCATG